GGAGGGAGGGAGCAGAAAGAAGGAGGAAGGGGAGAGGGAGGGAGGGAGCAGAAGGAAGGAGGAAGGGAGGGAGGGAAGGAGCAGAAGCCTAGGACATAAGCTGATCCAGAGTTATAACCATCTTGACATGTACCAACTAAGTTAATCAGGAAACTTAGATTTTAGTGTCCAAATTTAGGAGACAGAGGACAGGCCTTGGGCTTGATCAATGTGGAGGTGAAAGTGAGATATGTAATTCATAGATCTAAAACTATCAAAGGGCTGCATTCCTTGGTAAGTAATGTTCTAGAAGAACATTATCCTTCCAGCAGAGATAAATGGCAAGATACATTTTCAGTCTTAATTTAGAGTCTGGATGGCAAAGGAGAAGAATTTCTTTTCTCAGGAGTATTTATTCACAGACTTGCCTTTGCACTGGTGTTCAATTAAATTTTAATGCATTTTTATAGTCAAGAAAAACCACATGTGTGCAAATTGAATGTTCTTTGATTATTAGCATCTTAAATGCTTGGTTGATACACAGGCAAATGCATTGAAGGGATTATCCCTAAAGGTATTTCTGAACCATCAATGAAACAGCACTGAAACTGATGCAAAACAGATCTCCCTCCCTCATGATGAAACAGCACTATAACCAAGGAGCAGAAGAGACAACAAATGAAAGAGTAAGGTCCACACTCACTGTAGCCCTCGCAGTTTTCAGAAACAGAATATAACATGTGCAGGCTAAAGGTCTTTCAGGAAGTGGGCCTGGCCGGGGGGCTCATACGGTTGCTTGGAACATCACCCCACACACCAAAAGGCTGCGGGTTCGATCCCCAGGGGGGCATATGCGGGGAGCAACCAATCGATGTTTCTCTCTCACGTGGATGTTTTGTTTTTTCTCTCTCTCCCTTCCTCTCTAAAAATCAGTGAAAATGTGAGGATTAAAAGAAAAAAAGTGAAGAGAATGTCTTAAAGAAATCTTTAAGGAAATAAAATAAGATATTGAAATCATAAGCAGGAATTGGGAGATTATCAAAATCAACCAGGAAGATTTTAAAAGAAATGAAAAATATAACTATTCATATTATAATTATGACACGAGTTACCGAACATATAAAGAGTCATAGAAATATCTTTAGAAATAGTAACATGGGTAATTTTTGTATAATTTAGATACAGAGATCACATAATGTACTAATAAATGGTGACTATGGGCTAAATGTTGAGACATATAGGTACAATTGAAATATTTAAATTAAATTGGTGACTATTTCACTAGTTGAACTCCACAGAATAATAAGATTAAGCATCTGTCCTGACTTGCACACATGCCAATTCAAACATTAATTGTAGAGTTGAACCATAAGAACATATAGCCAAATCTACTTCCATGATGATAAATATTACTATAACTCCCTCATGACTAAAAAAATTATTTAGACATAATTTAAGAAATAATGTAAGCAATTGCACCAACACAATAAACACAACTGATCTAATAATCATACAGACAACTCTGATTCCCCGTTAGTAACTATTGTTTCTCCTGAAGAACTCATGGGCCATTTAACAAAACTGAGCATTTACTGGCTAAAAAGTAAAATTCTTTTATTTACAATGTAAATTAGTAATCAATAATAAAAATTCAAACCCATATGAATTCATAAAGTTAAATACATTTTCAAATAAATCATGCATCAGGTAAAACTAAAATATTTAAATACAAAATAATAAACCTATATAAAATTTTAGAGTACATATAAATGAACCCAAGAAGACATATAAAATTTAAAAATAAACAGCGATTTAAACTAGAGTTAGTTTCTAACAATAGAGTCATAAAATACACAGGAGAACCACATGGCTTTATACCTAAATAATAAAAAATATTTAAGAAATAGTTTAAGTCATTTAATAAATAAGAAAAAGAATAAATATATGTCAACTAAATATAAGAAACTAGTAGAATTTTGATAACAAAACAAATTATAGAATGGGAAAGAAATATTGGAGGCCATTTCCACTTAAGAATATGGATGTTAATACCCTAAATAAATATTGACTGTATACTATAATGTTTTAAAAATACACCATGGCTGAGAGGCAAGAATTAACAGATGGAGCATAGGGTAATTTTAGGGGAGTGAAACTATTCTGTCTGATATTGTAATGGTGGATACATGTCATCATAAATTTGTCAGAACCCATTAAACTGTACAACACAAAGAAAGAGCTCTAATTTAAACTGTAGATTTCAGTTAATAATAATATATGAATATTAGTTAATGATTTGTCACTAATGTACCTCACTAATGAGAGATGTTGATAATAGGGGAAATGACTGAGGGGAGAACAGTGGAGACATACACAAACTCTGTACTTCCTGCTCAATACTTTTAAAACTAAAACTGCTCTAAAAGTAGATTTTATTAATAAAGCAGTGGTGCATTTACACAAAAAGAAGGAATTCTTACCTTTTGTAACAGCAGGATGGACCTAGAGGATATTATGCTAAGTGAAATAAGCCAGTCAGAGAAAGGCAAATACCATATGATTTCACTTATATGTGGAATCTAATGAACAAAATAAAGAAACAAGTAAAATAGAAACAGAGTCATAGATACAGAGAACAGACAGACAGCTTTCAGGAGGTAGGGGGTTAGGGAGGCTGGGTGAAAAAGGTGAAAACATTAAGCAGTACAAATGGGTAACTGCAGAAAAGCCACAGAGATGTGGATTGCAGCATAATGTGGAGATAACAGGGTAGGGGGCCAGATGGGTGCTTGGGGTAGCAGGGGCACCACTCTGTAGATTGCATGGTTTTCCAGCCATTTTACTGTACATCTGAAACTGGTGTGGAATGGTATTGAATGTAAACTGTGATTGAAAAATAAAAAAAATAAAATAAAAAATATATCTTCATCAATTTTAGTTAATTCCAGGAAAGCAAGGATAAGCTAATAATAAATAAATAAATTTATAGGCCATATTAACAAGTCATTGAAGACAATCACATGGGTTTCTTTCATAGATACAAAAATTGTAATTTATAAAAGAATTTAAAAGTAACCTAATAATGGAAGGGAGTTATCAGAAATATACAGAAAATAATGATAAAATACAAAATTATTTCATTTAAAGGAGTATGATTAAGCAAAGATAATAATTATCAGCACTTACATTCAACTTTAAGTAAAGTCCCTAGACAATTCATAAATGTTAAAAAAACAAAAATTTGAAATGAAATATACAAACATTTATATTCATAGATAGCATTGACTACAGAAAACCAAGTCATTCTGAGTTGCTAGAGTAAAATGATAAAAATTGTAAAAATAAAATAAAAAATTTGAGAATCTATACAGTATTGTGATTAAAATCATGGATTATGAGAGGAGACTTCTTTGGTTCAAATTGTGACTGTATCACTAATTGTGTAATTGTGAGTAACTTACTTCACCTTTCTTTGCAATCCATCTCTCATGTAAACAATACAAATAATAGTGTCATTTGCCTCATAGGATTGTTCTGAATAACCTATTTAATTTTCATAAAGTCATTAAAACAAGGTATGACACACAATAGATGCTTTATAATGGTTTGCTATTATTGTTATTATTCTCATGTAGCTTAATAAGTCTTCTTTTCTTTATAATGGACAATCACTGAGAAATAGTAAATAAGAAGAGACATGAGATGTGTGATATGCATAAAACTGTAGAGAATCCAGTGGGATGAAATTATTTTCATGAAACAAGTCTAGTCTGGTATCTATATTCAGTAAAAATGCCATCTTTAAAACTATGACTAACCTCTTCAAATCCGATGGCCCAGTCTATTATTTCCTTGTGTATAGTTAACTCTTGACCATGTGGAGCCTGGGGGACGAATTTTCCTACCTTCACCAGATGTTGGAGACCAGAAGGCAAATTACAATAGTTCAGAATGTCATATTGAGCAACACAGTTTCTATTTTCATCCAGGGTCACTTGGTCTCCAATACTGTTGGTAAATTGAATGACTCTCAGTGGTTGGTGAAGCTAAAATGGATGTAGTAAAGAGTAATTTTAAAAAAATTATTTGGTAACCAAAAAATTTAAAGAAAGAAAAGGAAAAAAATTTTAAACCTTTTGATTCTGAGATTTTTTTGAATGCATGACCTTGGGGAAATCTCTTATCCCCCATAGCCACAAGTGCAAAATATGCACAATTACTCCCTCTTGATCAAACTAAATGTGAATATTAACAAAAAGCATGCATATATTTATGTGATTATATAATTAAATATTAACTGGAATTTCATCATTCCCTCATTGTTGAGAACAAAAAGCCTAAATTTAATGTCACATTTGATGTAGAGAAAGAAAATGTGATTTTAAATTCTTGGTGACCAGTTTACTGGCAGTGGGTCTTAAGAATCTTACTCAAGAGCGAGAAACAAGATGGTGGCGTAGGGAACAGCTGCACCTGCCACCTCCCGCAACCACATCAAAGTCACAAATAAATACAGAACCACCCTCACTCAGAGCCTCCTGAAATCCGGCTGCACAGAAGCCCCACAACCAGGGACTGAAGAAGAACCGAGACTCGTGGGAAGGGCGGAGACACGTGCTGCAGGCCCATACCTGGTGCCGCGGTTGAAACTCGGGAGGGAATCTCGGCGGAGAGGGTTTCCTGGAGGAGGGAGCGGTCCCAGCCCCACATCGGGCCCCTAGGCCAGGGCTCCAGGGCCAGGAAGAGATGTCCCCACAACTCAGGGTTGTGAAACCAGCGGGGACTGTCCCTGAGGGTCTCGGAGGCTGCGGGAGCCCCAGCAGCTCCCCGTAAAGGGCCCGGCATGGACTCACTCGGATGCTCCCTCTGAGCCCAGCGCCGGGCAGCAGCTTGAAAGGACCCGGGACACTCGGGGAGGAACTGACCTGCCTGAGATCCGGACGAGAACTGGAGGGACCACTTCCTCCCAGGCAGAAGAGCCAGCAGAGGCCATGGCTCCTTTGGCGAGTCCTCCCAGCACACAGCGGCAGGCAGGTGCCATGTTTGAATCGCCAGCACTTGACTCACGCCTTTGGCCCCGCCCCGTGATTCCCGGAGGCCCCGCCCCTCCCCACCTGCAGGCTCATTCAGGCCATTTCCAGGGGCTTTTCTATACAAGTGGCCTCTCAAGTCTCATGCTTAGGACTTTCCTAAAATCTCTCAAATAAGCAGCAGCTGGCCCCACACGGCTTGATAAGTGGCCCCAGGCCTGGCACTAGCAGCAGCCTGCATTGACTCATAGCTGGGCCTCTCCTGGACAACGCAAAGCCCAGCACAAGCAGCTGCCAACTATGGTTTGCTGTGTAGCTCATGCTGGGTGGCCCTGGGCAAGGCACTGGCATAGGCTGACTTTGCACCTCCCGGGAGGCCCCAGAGACAGTGCACCTGGTGGTCAGACTTGACCACACTGGATTATAACCCTACCACATCCACGAGTGACACTCAAGGGGCGCACTTGGTGAACACCAAAGCTCCACTGAAGTAAATCCTGATCCATAAGGTTGTCTTCAGCACAGCAGATCTTTGGCTGTATTTGCAGCTGGTCCTCACAGCTGATTGGCCTGGGGGTCAGTTCCTCCCAGGGACGCCAACAGCAACCAAGGCTTAACTACAACAGGACAGTGCACACAGCCCACACAGGGAGCACCTAGAAGGCCCAGCTCAGGGTGAGTGGGGAGGCTGAGTCACTGGACCCTATAGAAAACCTACTAAACAAAGCCATTCTAAAAATTCCAGAAGACATAGCAGCTCTACCTAATACACAGAAACAAACACCTGGAAGCAGCCAAAATGTGGAGGCAAAGATACATGTCACAAAGGAAAGAACAGAAGAAATCTCTAGAAGAGGAATGAAATAAAATAGATCCAAGCAAGCTAACAGATACAGAGTTCAGAATTTTGTTTATAAGAATGTTTAAGCAGATGGTTAGGGAAATAATTGAGAAAATTGATAGTATAATAAAGTACCAATTTGAAATAAACGCTACAGGAACTGAAATGAAGAATAATTTACATGGAAAAAACAGTAGAGTACAGGACACTGAGAATCAAATCAGCAATTTGGAACACGAGGAAACAAAAAACACCCAACCAGAAGAGCAACAAGAAAAAAGAATCCAGAAATATGAAGATACTATAAGGAGCCTCTGGGACAACTTGAAGAGGCCCAACATTCGTATTATTGGGATGCCAGAAGGGGAAGAAAGAGACCAAGGAATTGAAAACCTATTTGAAAAAATAATGACAGAAAACTTCCCCTACCTGGGGAAAGAAATCGACTTACAAGTCCAGGAAGCACAGAGGGTCCCAAACAAGAGGAACCCAAAGAGGCCCACAACAAGACACATCATAATNGAAATCTGACAAACTAAATAGATCCAGAGATACTGACGCATGCAACAGACGATCATATTTCAGAGGAAAGAGGGAAGGGGGGTGGAGGGTGGGAAGAGATTAACCAAAGAAGTTATATGCATATATGCATAACCCATGGACACAGNAAAGAAGTTATATGCATAACCCATGGACACAGTTAATAATGGAATGAAGCCTGGGAAGGTGGGGGGAGCGAAGTGGAGGGGATCAATTGAGGGGGGAAAAGGGACACCTGTAATTCTCTCAACAATAAAGATAAATTAAAAAAAAAAAAAAAAGAATCTTACTCAACTTTCCTGAACATGAGATTTTCTCATATGTAAAATAGAAATAGCAATTGATATCTCTAAGTTTATTTTGAATTAAAAGAGACATTATAGTCAGTATAGAGATGGCTGGGGAAAAAGTAAAAGCTCAAAACTAATTTTTTTCCTTCAAAACAATGAAACTAGACCACCAACTTACACCATACACAAGAATAAACTCAAAATGGATAAAATATTTAAATGTAATTCATGAAATCATAAAAATCCTGGAAGAAAATATAGGCAGTGAAATCTCAGACATCTCTGGAAGCAACATTTTGGCCAATATATCTCCTAGGACGAGAGAAATAAAGAAAAAAAAAATAAACAAATATGATAACATTAAACTAAAAGCTTCTGCACAGCAAAAGAAACCAACAACAAAATGAAAATGGAACACAATATATGGGAGAACATATTTGCCAATGATACATCTGATAAGGGGCTAATTTCCAAAATATATATAAAGGATCACACAATTCAACAAAAGGAAGACAATTCAATTAAAAAATGGGCAAAGGACTTGAATAAACATTTCTCCAAAAAGGACATATAGATGGCCAATAAGCATATGAAAAAATGCTCAATGTCATTAAAAATCAGAGAGATACAAATTAAAATCACAGTGAGATATTTCCTCATACCTGCCAGAATGGCTAATATCAATAAATCAACAAACAACAAGCGCTGGCAAGGATGTGGAGAAAAGGGAGCCCTAGTGTACCATGGTGAAAATGCAGACTGGTACAACCACTGCGGAAAACAGTATGGAGGTTCCTCAAAAAATAAAAAATAGAACTGCCTTTTGACCCAGTGGTCCCACTTCTGGGAATATATCCTAAGAAACCTGAAACACCAATCAGAAAGAATATATGCACCCCTATGTTCATAGTAGCATTATTTACAGTAGCTAAGATCTGGAAATAGCCCAAGTGCTCATCAGCAGATGAGTGGATAAAAAGCTGTGGTATATTTACAACATGGAATACTACACAGCCTTAAAAAAGGAAACTTACCCTTGCAACAACATGGCTGGACCTTGAGAATATTAGGCTAAGTGAAATAAGCCTGGCAGAGAAAGACAAATACCATATGATTTTACTTATATGTGGACGCTAATGAACAAAATAAACTGATGAACTAAATAGAACCAGAGGCATGGATACAAGGGACAGACTGACAGAGGTCAGAAGGGAAGGGGTTGGGGGACTGGATGAAAGAAAGTGAAGGAGCCGGGCCGGGTGTGGCTCAGTGGTTAAGGGTCGACCTAGGATCCAGGCAATCAGGGTTCGATTCCCGGTCAGGGCACATGCCCGGGTTGCGGGCTGCAGCCGATCAATGACTCTCTCATCACTGATGTTTCTATCTCTCTCTCTCCCTCTCCTTTCCTCTCTCTGAAATCAATAAAGATACATTTAAAAAAAAAAAAAAGAAAGTGAAGGAATTAACCAAAGAACATATATGCATAGCCCATGGACACAGACAAGTGTGATAATGACCAGAGGGACGGGTAGAGGAGATAAAATGAGGTCATCTGCAATTGTGTTAACATTAAAAATAAAGAAAAAAAGAAAAGAGAAAAACTGAATTCTTTCTCATGGTCATTTTAGAGAATCAATATGTAGGTTTACAGAAATCAGACTGAAAACAAGTGCTGGAAATGTGGAGTAAACATTTCACTCTTAAATAGAATATAACAAGATGTCCTCTAGCCTTAGACACCTTCCATTTGATGATGGTTTCTACGTATACTCACCACAACTGAAATCTCTCAGGAAAGTACACATATTTATATAATTCAGGATATAAAATCAATGTGGTTTTCTGAGTTATTATTAAAGTTTTAACAAAGTCACATCTATGACTGTGTGTTTCAAGAATCTAAAGGCTTCAAGGTCTACAGGGCACTAGTGAACATAATTACCTGCCACTGATAAAATACCAGTGGGTTTGCATTTTCCTCAGATTCCACTTGTGTTTTTAAAAGAAGCACTTCGTGGAGGGCATGGGCCACAGAATACACAGAATCATAGGTAGTCTTAATAAAATCAGATGTACTCATGTCAAAATAATGCAAAGGCACAGAAGCCACTGAAGCATTTAGTGGACAGTCTTCTAGTGTTTCACAGTCAGGACCAGACAAAGAGCAATCAAAGGAAAAGAGCCACAGTTTTTTAAGAAAAATGTCTTCTGGATATTTAGAAGGGTTAACTGTCTCAAGAAACTGTCTGAAGCCAGGAATCTCTCTGCTCTGCTTCGATAAAATGAGAGTCCCATGGAAATGATTAAGCAGGAAAATTTCCCCATTTGTGGTGAAATCCCACTGGTAGGTGGTGATCCACACTTTCCAAGTATCCAAACTGTTCATTATCAGAATGGTCAGGGCTGTTAGTGCGTCAGTATCACCGTAGACAACAGTCACATTTATTGATGGGTTATCAATATTGGGCATGGCCACCCAATTTGAAAAGGGAATAAATCTTTCAGCAGTAGACACCTTCTCTGTAAATGCTGCACAGACACCTTCTCTGGCCATGTCTTCTTTCAGCTCCCAGAGGAATTGCTCACCTTTCATGTCATCTGAAACAATCAGTCCTACCCAAGTCCAGCTGAAATGCAGCAATAATTTCACCATACCAAGAGCCAAAGATGAGTCCTTGGGGGACATCTGATACAGAGATGGAAGTAGTTCTTTGTCACTCAGTAAAGGGTCAAACAGACCATAACTAATCTGAGAAGGAAAAAAAAATCATCCATTTATGTTCAGAAGAAGGTATTTAAGAGAGAAGAGTACAATAAAATACTCCTAGGAAAAATTCAAAGCTTTAAGTGAATTGCTAGAGGAGTGACCGAGATGGGTAATGGAACAACTCCCAGAGTTTTTCTTGATGAGGGTTTTATTCAGTTCATTAATGAGGAAAGTCTCTGGAAGACAAATTCCTGGTCTATAAAATGGTCATAAATAAAGATACATATATTCAGTTGGGGAAAAACAAGTTAAAATAAAATTTTTATATAAAATAAAATACTAGTTAATATTATATAGGGTAATACAGTTGCAAACGTTGAGATTTCTTCTGCCAAAAAAAGAAAAATCCCAGTTCACAAGATCTTTCTACAAGCTATTATTTAATTCTATAAGGCTGGTAAAAGTCCATTTCTGGTTATCAGTCAAGGGTACAACTTTTAAAAGAATTACATGATAGGAAGTCTTAAAAAGGTATACTAGTTAGATAGTAACAGCATAATATTAAATAATAAAGCAATAATTATTTTGCTTTTTTAAAGTTAAATAGAAGGGTTTTTTTCTGGAAAGGGAGGAGATAATTTGCTTACTTAATTCTTTATAATTTATCACCTTAACTTTGTGTGAAATCAATCAGAAAAGTAATTGTTCAGATGCGTAGTTCCCAGAACTGGCATGGCTAAGTCATCAGGCAATGTCTCATTGTGGCCTAAGCTTCCCATGCTGTCTCCTCCTTACTCCAAATAAGCCCTAAGAGCAGAAGGGATCTTCTATCATGTTTGGGGTTATCAAAGACAGTTCTGAGCTGCATTTTGTTGGTGTGCCTTATAACAACAGAAAAAACAACTATGCAATATCTCTGACCCTCCCCATCCTATCTCACCTGTGGGAATTTGTAGAGTTCCAGTAATGTCCCCAGCTGAAGAACAAATGCTGATGTAATTCCTTCAACAACTGCCACAGATTTGCTCTGACTCTCACAGTTATAATTAGGAATTTCCTCTCTCCCTCCTGACAGCCAAAGCACTGGGCCTTCCAAGGTCCTCTGATGACTGTGGTAGGAGTTGTAGATGTGATATCCCAGAGACACGTTGGGTAAGAGAAGTGGGTTCCTGTTGATCTCCTCGATGGCAAAAATGAAAGCCAAAACATGAATGTAGTGCTTGTACAGAAACCTGCATGGGGAGGAGACCATTAGAAATGCAGATCAAAGCATGTGCCTCTGGGGAAGCTCCTAAGGCAGAAAAATGGGCATTTAGAGGATAGACCCTCACGCCTCCCATCCAGTGTCCTGTGGTTCCATCTCCTGTCTGACCTGAGTGTGTGGAAATGAGGGATGGGGGCTCAGCAGGCTCTGAATTAGCTGAGTATCAGGCTGATGAATCAGCATCCAAGGAGGATACAATTTTAAAAGCTGAAAATTAAGCATGGGTTGAGTTGAACATAGAATCACTTGGTGGTAAGACTTTAAAGGTATTTGTTCATTTTGTTTATGAAGAAATAACTTTCAAAGGGTAGCTGAGACAGAAACTGAAGTAGGAAGTGAGCGCGAGGTAAGAGAGGATGTTGCGGTAAAAGGTCAGAGTCCATATATGAGATCCTGCAGAGCAAGGGATCAGGCAGGGCAAGCAAGGAGGGAGAACATATTTTGGGGAAAATGACTTCAGAAAACGGGATGTCTAAACATCATTTGGTTTAACCTCATAGATCAGGAAGATAAACCCAGATTTTAGGGTTCTTAGGAAAGTGGTGGGAGGAGGCCTGCATTGTAAGTGATTCTGAGAAAAGTATGAGGGGTGGACGATGACTTTATCTTTGTCTGCAGGTGTCTATCAAATAACAAAAATTCTTAAAGTATAATGGCCTTAAAAATATTTTCTATTATACAAACACCTAAATCAGGGATGCTGAAGATCTAAGNGTGTCCTGTGGTTCCATCTCCTGTCTGACCTGAGTGTGTGGAAATGAGGGATGGGGGCTCAGCAGGCTCTGAATTAGCTGAGTATCAGGCTGATGAATCAGCATCCGAGAAGGATACAATTTTAAAAGCTGAAAATTAAGCATGGGTTGAGTTGAACATAGAATCACTTGGTGGTAAGACTTTAAAGGTATTTGTTCATTTTGTTTATGAAGAAATAACTTTCAAAGGGTAGCTGAGACAGAAACTGAAGTAGGAAGTGAGCGCGAGGTAAGAGAGGATGTTGCGGTAAAAGGTCAGAGTCCATATATGAGATCCTGCAGAGCAAGGGATCAGGCAGGGCAAGCAAGGAGGGAGAACATATTTTGGGGAAAATGACTTCAGAAAACGGGATGTCTAAACATCATTTGGTTTAACCTCATAGATCAGGAAGATAAACCCAGATTTTAGGGTTCTTAGGAAAGTGGTGGGAGGAGGCCTGCATTGTAAGTGATTCTGAGAAAAATATGAGGGGTGGACAATGACTTTATCTTTGTCTGCAGGTGTCTATCATATAATGAAAATTCTCAAAATATAATGGTCTTAAAAATATTTTGTATTATAAAAACACCTAAAGCAAGGTTGCTGGAGAGCTAAGTTTAATTTTTCTTTCCTTTTTTTTTTACTTTAGGGAGCCTCATTTCAGGTTTTAAATATCTCCCTTTCCAGTAATTGAAGTATATGCATAATTCCAATAAATATTACATAGAATAATAAAATTATTAAATTATTTTGTTGTTTCTAATTTTTAGTGGAAAAATTAAATTCTGACTATCTTAAAGTGATGGAAATGCTTTAGTGTAATAACTCCCAGGTTCTACGGTAGGCTTAATATTACATAAAATATTACATGTGATATTCTCAAGTTTACTTCTTGGTAAGTATAAATGTTCACACTTTATACACGGTAATAATTCCTGAGAAAGATTATACACAAGACAGAGTCTAAGCCTGAATTTAAAAGCAATTCCACTGACATCAAAGTTAGTTATATCTTAAAGGTTCTTTGACATCCTTAGAAGTAACACTGTTAACTCCCCCCAAAGACCACTAGATTGTGTTTATTAGAAAAGCTAATTTTATATAGACTTACCACATAAGAGAGAACACAAACTTCCCAAATAGTTAGTAGTTTGTTTCAAAAAGGGAAACATAGGCAGGGTATTTATAGGCTTTTAGAGACTGAGCTATGTGATTTTAAGGAGGGTCTTGCAAGAAACGGAACTAGCCAGTACTAACCAGAGTTTATGATGTAACAGCTTTGGATTACTGGACACTGCAAGGCAAGGGTGTGAAGGCATAGCTGTTAAGTAAACTCTTGGTCTTAAGAAGTAAATTTTTCTTTTAGTTCATTATCTTTTTTTTCAGGAGCAGTTATTTCCTGCAACAAGCAGTTGTTACTTTGGCTTGTTCTCAGTATTGTTCAGTAAATGTAGGAAAGTATGATTCCTTTCACTATTCTTTAGCACAAAGATGGGAAAATGTGTTTGTCCATAAAGTTTAATAAAGTATAGATGCTCATAGTATTTTTAACACAAGAATAAGAAATTATTTTGTTTCGTCCTCAGAAAGATAGAAGGGTATATTGAGTGTTAAAGTCAAGGACAGAGACCAGCCTTGAAAATTCCCTGGGCAGACAAAATCAGGTTAGTTATACAAACAAATGTTAATTTAGCTTATTTTGCAAGACTGAGGATGGGATACATGGCAGATCACCCCAAAATATTCCACTTTGGCATATTGATTAATTTGAAATAAAGATACTTAAGAAACAGCCTGTTCAAAAAGGACAGTAAGGCCTCCTTTGTATACCCTGAAATTAGGAAAGAAATTAGGCATGTGGAAAGAACTCTCCCTTCCTCTCAACAAGAGAAAGTGAGGTATCCTGACTTGCAGAAATAGAGAATTCAGGGCCAATAAAGATGTTTAAACAAATTTTGTTAACAATTCAGCATTTTGCTACCCTAAGCCCAAACTCTTTTGTCATTTTTTTACAAATAATTGTTTCTTTGTCTGAAAGGTATAAAAGCTGCCTACTTTGCTCATGTCTCTGAGCCTCATCCCAAGTTTAAGTGCTCTTAATTTACAATAAATTACAGTATTTATTATTACTTTAGTGATTCATTGGTTTTACTTTGGCTATTTATGAATGCCTCCTGGGATTCTATTAATTTCTTAGAGTGGTTCATAGAACATAGGAAAATAGTTTACTTAATTACCAGTTTATTATAAATAGAAATGATAAAGGGTACAGATGAACATTCAGATAGAAGAGATTCATAGGGCGAGGCCGGTAGGAAGGGCGGTGGAGCTTCAAAGCTCTCTCTGGGTAAACCACTCTTCCAGCACATCTAATTCCCCAGCCCCGAAGCTCCCTGAACCCCATACCTTTGGAATTTTTGTGGAGGCTTCATCATGTGAGGATGATCTATCATTAACACATTTCCCAACCCTTCTTCTCTTCCTGGAGGTTAGGGAATGGGGATGAAAGTCCCAAGCTTTTAAGTATGGCTTGGTCTTTTCGGTGACCAGCCCCCACCTAGGTGCCCACCATGTATGGCCTCATAAAAACAAAATGTGATCCTATCACCCAGGAAATGCCAAAGGATTTAGAAACCCTGTTTCAGAAACCAGTGCCAAAGCCCAAATATTAGAACAAAACATGCTTTATAGGCCCTGAATGCTCCATATACTCTTACCATGTAGGAAAATACGACGGTTTTAGTATCTCTGTGCCCAAAAACTGGGTGCTGAAAGCAGTACATATTATTTAACAGTAAATATTAACATTTGGAGACTATAAGGTAAAAGTACAAACATGGTTATTTGTTTTAATACATCATTTCCTTAAGTCTAAAATTATTTTTAACAAATGTTGAAAGTAAAAGTTTAAATGCTCAAGTTATTTATATAGCTACCACCTCAAACTCATTTCTATTACACTCTTTTCTAGCCACACTTTGCACACATTAAAAGCCCTCTGTTCTCACTTGTGCCATGTCTTAACCTCTAGTCAGTTCTTGCTCACTCTAACCTATCCACTAAAATAGCTTTGGGTATGATCATGAATGAATATTTGTTGCTCTACAATGGACATTAATTAACATCTGTTCACAAACAACTCATATATATTCACTCTAGACTAAGCCATTCTCATGAAAGTCTGACTCATACATCCAACTGCTTATTTGGCATTAGATGCAACAAGGCAATTTTGTGATTTTTATTTCCCTTCCCCAAATCTATTCTTCTCTGGTGTTCCCAATCAGTATAAATTCAGTTAAATAAGCCACATATGAAGACAAAATTCTCAACCGTACTTTCTCCCTCATTTTCCCTCCCATACCTAATCCATGCAAACTGTGTCTCCTTGAAATATTTCAAATTCTCCACTTTCCCCACCTCCACTGTCACCACTTAGTCACCATCAACTCCCAATAGGCTTCACGAAATGACTGCCTTACTTGTTTCTGTCACTCTTCATTAACCTCTCAAATTTCCTTTCATAATCAGAACAATCTTTTGAAATCATACAGGTGACTGTAAATCCCTCTTACTTTCTAGATGAACATATCTCGTGGTGTACCATTGCTCTTAAGTAGATATGAGCATATTTAAACCTTTTTACAGTTCCCCTCATGGCTAAGCTCTATTTACCTCTCTAGATTAATTTCTCTTTGGCCTTTGATTTTCACAAACACAGAATTTAATTTATTCAAAATGGCGTTTGCCTTTACACTAAGCAATGTTTGCCTCATTAAATTATGAGGTCTTATTACCATTTCCTCAGGGAAATCTCACTGGCAGTTGTAAATGATGGAAAACCTGTACTTTTAATTCTGGCATGCATCTGTGGCATGATCTTACCTCCCTTAGAGCAGGTGTTCAACTCATGACTTGCAGTAGTTATGTGAGGGCAGGTCTAAGTGGTTTTCCTCATTGCTCTAAGCCTAGCACTTGGCCTATGGCTTGGCTCATAGAAAATAGACATATGTTTGATAAATTAGAAAAAGAACCAAGTGAATAGTGTGAATAAAAAAGGAGTATATAGTGAACCTATATAATAAAGTTCAGTGACTGAAAGTAACCACAGGACGGTCTGACCATAAATCCCCTACTGAACAGGTCAGGGCAGGTATTCACATCCCAGGCCTACAGCTTCCTTAGCAAAGATGAACCTTTCCCCTAAGTGAGCCCTGTCCATAGTTCTTATGCATCTGTTTAAAATGTGGGAGTAATTTTGCTTTCCAGAACCCTCCAAGGCAAATCTCTGGCCCCAGAACACCAGATTCATGAGACCACAAAGTGCCTCAAATTACCCTGTTGTCTATGTGCCATCTCTGTGTACTGTAAATGTTAAATGTTAACTACCTTGTGCCCTCCCATGTAAAATACGTGTTTTTGCATTTTGCTTTTTATCCGGTTCTACAGATTTGCCCACTTTGCTTTCTCCCACATCCTTAATTCCCACGGATGGATTTCCTTTAAACTTCCTTCCATTTTCTCCTTTGATTCCCACTGTACAATGTGAGCTGCGAAACTGCCATTCTTTGGAACATTTTCTAATCATTGAGATCTGACTTCTGGGCATGTCTTCAACATTTTAACTCAGAGAAAGTCATAAAAATTTTCTATACATTTGGATATTATTTTGTCAAAAATAGCAAGAAAATAAACAGGGATCTTTTTAAAGAATCCTTGAAGTAGGGTTACCTGGGGCAAGTAAAGCACGTTACTGCCCCCCTTCAACTGCTACGAATCCTCACAGCAGTCACCTTCATACACACACCTCCTGCCTGCTGAAATAGCTTTTCTGAGCAGAGCTGACTCTTTTATGAGAGAAAATAAAAACAGGATGGATCAGAGGGAAAAAAATTCATGAAGGCAAGGAATAAAATTCAAATTATAAAAGTACATCAGTAAATTTATCCCAACCCACAATGTAAGAATGAGGGTAAAAAGCATAAAATAGTAAGAGATGAAAGCAGAATACATAGGCCATAACACTAATCAGAAAGATCATTATGGTAAATTTTATGTGTCTACTTGACTGTGTCAATGGATGCCCAGATAACTGGTAAAACATTATTTCTGGGTATCTCTGTGAGGGAGTATCCAGAAAAGATTAACTTTTAAGTCAGTAGGCTAAGTAAAGAAGATTGTCCTCACCAATGCAGGGGGGCATCCTCCAATTCATGGGGGAAGGTACAGAACAAACAAACAAACAAAAATAAACACAGGAAAGAGAATATCCTTTCTTGCTTGAGCTGGGACATCCATTTCCTGATTTTGGACATCTGTGCTCCTGGTTCTGGCGCCTTCAGACCCAGGCTTAACCCATTGGCTCCCTCATGCCTTTTGAATTGAACTAGAACTACACCATTGGCTTCCCTCGGCATTCAGCTTACAAACTTAATATCATGAGACTTTTCAGCCTCCTAAATTGTTTGAGCCAGTCCCTCATAGAAAATCTCTTTCTGTGTATCTGTATAAATACTATTGGTTCTGTTTCCCTGAAGAACCCTGACTAATACAAAGACTAAATTAACAAAATAAGACAAAAACATTTAAAGCATAAAATAATTTAGATTATTTTATTTGTCTATTTAAATAAGCCTATCACCCACTCAATAACCATTGAAATAATCAAAGAATTACTGTCTGCTCAAAGCTTCTTTCTATCATTTTGTATCTGCATCCTATGTAGCACATAGATGGTTCTGAATTGGACATCTCTGGTTCCACCACTGATACAGGTCATCCTCATCGCAAGTCACTGCTTTGGAACTAAAGCCCAGGCCACCTGATATGGTGCTGGGTATCCTTGAGCTCTGATACGCCACCTTTGGGCAGTGATAATTACTAAGGGATGTCTCAAACATCACTATCCAAGTTATTAGCCAAGTTTTGAATATAAATTTTTAAATATCTAAATAACAATTTAGAAAATTGAAACCTGAAACCAAAACGGCTCAATCTGGAAAAGCAAAGATTTGTAATGGTAGATTTCTATTAAATAACTAATCAACTCATTAGGTCCAAAAAGAAAAATCTGTGTTCATTTCAAATGCTGAAAATTATGCATAAAATGCAACGTATCTTTTTTATCAGAAATCAGTCATGTCAGAAGATGCATTTAATTAATATGTAAAAATCGATAGGTACCTCAGACTCAGAACCTTATTCATGTCAACTTGTGCTTGAACGTCTAGAGCTTGCTCTCCTGGTGGGGGGAGTAGTTAGAGAACTCTGGCCTTGGAGAAGCAGAACACTGTCAACTTTAATTACACTCCTCTGCACAGGCCCCTCTGCCTCAGACTCAGTAAGACTCTGGGCCTTAGTGAGCCACTGCCATCGTCAGGGTTGAAGCCAACCCCTAAGGTGTTTGGGATCAGAAAAAAGGGTAGGACTATTTCTGTAGAAACACCTCTCTAGGTTTAGGGAAAAGATTGATAAATATATCCTCACCATAGTCATTTAACATCACTAACATGATGAGATCTTATTATAAAATACATGATTGAGCATAAAAACCAAATATGAAAATGCAAAAATGATTACTCTCTGCAGATGATAAAAGTTTATCATCTTTTATCTGGACCACTCACACCAAACAAACTAAAAGACTACTGAAACTAGTTTCAGTGTTTCATTCAGTGTAGAAATAGTATAGTTTTTAGAAGCATGCTAATAATAAAAATAAAGTTACAGAAAAGCTTTATACAGCAGTATTTATATGTAAGTAAGACGTTAGAATAGCCTAATTTAAAATATTAAGGAAAACCTAATAATCCAGAAAAAACATTTGGATCAGTTTTATTTATGTGTAAAAACTTAAGAAATTTGTAATCAATATTTCAATTTGAATATTTGTTTGATTATCAATAAAGAATGATAAATTTATATGAAAAAATAAAACTGTGATAAAGAATAAAAATGAGAAGGATCTGCCTTCCTAAATACAGAAATTCTAAGGAATAACTAGCTTCAATAAATAAAAGCGTGGCAACAATACCAAAATAGACATATTCATAAAACTGAAGTAAATGCATAGAAGTGGACTAAATGTTTTCTTTTTGATGAATATTGCATTCAAATAAGTTAGGACAGAAGTGGCTTTTATAGAAATGGTATATAGATAAATATATCAAGTTATAACTCTGTCATGTATGTAAGCCAATACAAATTACAGATGAAATAGATATTTGCATAGATATTCTAAAACAAAAAGTAATAGAATAAAACATATGTATCTATTTAGTTAACCTTCAAATGTAAAAGGCTTGATACTGAAGGTAGAAAAAAAGTAAAATGATGAAGAGATGCAGTAACAAAAATGTAATGTTTTACATGTTAGAACATCATAATCAAATTCAAAAGACAATGGCAAAGTGAAGAAATATTCGGTGTGTAT